CATTTGCACACACAAGCACGCATCACTTCTACCTCTGCCCTTCTTATATCCTTTATTTATTGTGACGAAGGGATGCTGGCTTACAGCCACTACTTAACTTTGAACATATAACTCACTCTTTAATTCACCACTTCGACATTAGAACAATTAAAAAACTCTTGATTTCTTTACCAATGCGTCGTGTTTTGACAAGCCTGTTTCCACAGGGACACTCCGGAGGTATGCCGCCGGGTACTACTATCCCGTAGAACGCTTTGCTTGCTGAACGGAGTGATGGTGCATCTTAGTGTGGAGAACATCACTTACGGTTGATTATTCTCATGTTTACGTATATTGATTGCCAATGAATACACATGATTGCGGGCAATATGTACACGTGTTCGATATACGATATATGATTGGCAAGTTGAAAGAATCGGTTGTGACTAGACTTAGATGTAGCGCTAGCAAACCAAGGACCTTAGACAAAAAAATAATTTCCTATCAATTCTACCTCCAACTACTCAAGTCAAGCTCCTCACCCTGTCGCCGCACTCGCAACGTTGATTCTGGTAACAGCCTTTGAGTGTCTGTGCTTGCCGAACTTGTCCTGAAAATCAAACAACCAACTCTGAGACTAGGTCTGCGATTTAATGCCATTGTGCTTGTCCCGCTAGTCCATTAACTTGGTTGTAGTTCTGTGGGTTAAAGGTGCAAAGCCGTAGTAACACTTTAGTGCAGCTCGGTGGGTAACAAGTCCATCAGTATCCGAACAACGATATATTTCTTCACCATTTCAACATTGCACACTCACCTTTTCCATCCGACAAGAAGTATTATCGGGGGGACAGTTTACTGCTATTTATATTTGTCTCCGCGGTGCGTATCGGTTAACGAGCCCCACTTTACGATGAGTAAAAGGTGATTTATTGGAAGCGTCAGCTTCTTTTGAAAAACTGTTGCTATAAGTCTTTTTACCCTCATACTCTTAAACTTGATCAAGTTCTTTTGTAAGTGCATAAATTAAGTGAGTTTATTAAGTAAATTTTCTGAGTGAATTTGCTGAGTGAATTTATTGAGTGAATTCAGTGAGTCAACTTATTGATGGAGAGAGCGACAATTTTATTTTTCTTTGAGCTGAGTACATTTTGAAGCTGCACATTTTCGAACTTTGTATTGCTTTATATTTAATGGGTGTGCTCTTGTAACTCAGCTGAGAGTTGCTAAGTATCATCATTATCCGTCATGGCTAAACCTGATCGGTACCTGACCAAAGATTACATTGTTTCAATACGTTAAGAAGATCTCCATGTTTTTCTTGTATGAGCCGCAACCCCGAAGTCCATATCCGACTGTGAGTGAATTGGACGAAGTGAGTGTCTTAATTCAAATTTATTCATGCAAAAATTGCCTTACGCAACGTTAAAAACTATATATATTAATAGAATACTTTTTCCAATATCAGCTCTTGTAGCTCAGTTGGTTAGAGCGGTGGTCTTATGAGCCGCAGGTCGAGGGTTCGAACCCCTCCTAGAGCAGTATCCATAAATTTTAAAATGAAATAATTGCGCTAATTCTAAAGCCTTTGTATACTGCTTTAAATTTGGGAGGATGAAAGATAAATATACCTTTATTCTGGATAGAAACACTACGCAATTATCATTTCGAAATACCGGCTAAGCCATTTGCAATTATCAACAGATAAGTAAATGGCGTTACGGCATACAAGACCACTTAATTTTTTGCCTTGGCGGATGGAGCAGGTGGTAAAATACTTATTCTGTTTATAAGATAGTGCGATCAATCCGCAAAACGTTATTTTATTGTAATAGCACCTTACAACACAGATAAATTGCTAATTTGAAAGGTGCTAGAGCGTTAAGGAAAAGAGATACAAATTAGATTCTATTCATCCCTGCTTTAAGACATCCTCGTCATGTCGTTTCAGTCTGTATAATGCTTTTTTGTAATAAGTATGCCAGAATTATCCCCGGTGATATAGTCATGAAAGCAACAATGGCTATAGATCCCACAGTTAACAGCGTACATTGAATTTGCTACTTAGATCAGAGCTTCGATCAAGTTGTGTGTGGAGCCACCCCGCTGGATGAATCTAAATTTAATTTTAATATTGATACGAACCAATGAAATATTTGATCATTTACATTTACAGCTGCAGCACTCTTTAAATAATTGAGTCGAACGCAGAGGATTAGACTGAAGATGGCTTGTGGTCGAAGGGGTAAAACCAAAAAAAGTGATGTATTTAAGACCTACTTCGCACTACTGCTACATCTGAGCTTACTTAATGTATCTACATAAGCAACCATAAAGAACATTTGGAGAATATTCTGCACCCACTATCTGCACCATTATAATCCCACTGTGAACCCATGTTAATCGGTTGGGTATCCATAGCAACAGGTTATGAACCCTCTCCCATCACCTTTAACAACTTGCGCATAACACACAGCCGCAGCATCACCTCACACTCTCCACACTTGGGGACAAACACATCGTTGTCTCCAAGCTTGATCAGCTTTTCACTTTCATTTGCTGGTGTATGCACTTCCTTGCACTTGTCAATGCCAAAATTCTCAGCCAATCGTTTGATGTACGCGCGCTGATCCATGTAGATGGTCTTTTTCACCAGGTCACGCCGTATCTCGATTCCAATCCAGAACTTGAGCGTCCTAGCTCTTTGATGCTGAACTCGCTCTTGAGCCTGCGCTTGATAGCGTCGATATGCTCTTGCGCCCGCGCGAATAGCATCAGGTCGTCGACGTGGATGATGACAAGGCTGAACTCAAACTCCGAATGCTTTACGTAGACGCACAGATCGGCCGCTGTACGCTTGAGTCCTAGCTCTTGAAGATGTGCATTAAGTCGGTTGTTCCATTCGCGGGCTGCCTGCTTTGTGCCATACAACTCCTTCCGCAGTAGACATTTCTTGTCCGGATGCCTCGTGTCTTCCAATCCGCCTGGTTGATCCATGTAGATTGCCTCCTAAACTTCACCATATAGGAATGCAGTGTCGACGTCGACATTCTCAACCACTAAGTCTTGTTCGGCTGCGAGCGCTAGAGCCACGTTGATTGACTCATTGCGCGCGACCGGTGCATAAGTCTCGAAGTAGTCCACTCCTGGCCGCAGAGTGAAGCCCTGGGCAACGAGCCGCGCCTTAAATTTGATAATTTTTCCACTCGGCTCGCGCTTAATTCGAAACACCCACTTGCACCCAATTGCCTTCTTGTCACCCGGTAGATCCACAAGCGTCCATGTCTCGTGCTGCGCCAGTGATTAGATTTCACTTTCCATTACACGCAGCCACTCATCTCTGTATTTGCTTTGCTGCAATTTTTCGAACGTCGACGTGCTCTCGCCGTCATCTTCAGCGCTGAAACAGTACAATGCGTCGTGCCCGGCTTCATAGTCACCCAGGCCAAACTTTCCGTGCCGCAAATTTGGGAAATCATGCCCGTAGCGCAACACCGCGTGATTCTTGCGCACCAATCGCACATGCGACTCGTTCTCGTCGTCGCGTCCTGGTGTACTTGAACGTTGTGTTGGCACAGAGCCTCTCGAACGCTCATTCAGCACTTCCTCTATACGTGTCGGAGTCCCTCTAGGTGCTGTCGGTGGAGTCTGGTAACTCTCCCTGGCTTTTGTATCGCTTGACTCTTGATCATGTTTATCATCTCCCACGACGTCGATCAGACTTGGCGCACCCTGTCTGTGCGTTTTCATTGCTGGCGCGTTCTCCGCAACTGCCACACTGCGCGAGATAATAATTGCTTTCGTGCTTTCATTCAGCAGACGATACGCCTTGTGCTGCTTTGAGCAATCGAGCATCAGACAGCGCACGCCTGAGTTGTCGAGCTTGCCCCGCACTGCCATGGCTACGTGTGCGTAGCACTGGCTGCCGAACACGCGCATGTGTTGAAAGCGTGGTTTGCGCTTGAACACGAGCTCGAACGGGCTCGCGTTTGGACTCGAAGCACTTGGTATCACGTTGCGGATGTCCACAGCAGTCATCATAGTTTCGACCAATAGACCTTGCTCATCTCGGACTCGCTTAGCATGCAGCGAGTAATCTCGATCAAGGTGCAATTTATGCGCTCTGCTATGCCGTTTTGCTCTGGGTTGTGTTGCTCCGTGAACTCTTGCTTAATTTAATGTCTTCGGCAGATGTTCTCCAACTCTGAGTTTCGATATTCACCCCCATTGTCGCTCCGCAATATCTTGACATCAATGTCGCACTCAAGCTTGATGTCGTGGTAGTATCTCATGAACGCCTTCGGCGCGTCGCTTTTCTTGCACATTGGGTAGATTATCGCAAAGCGACTCCGCATCGCAATGAAACTTACAACATTGCTATGTCCGGACTTGGACGCCGGTGAGATTGGTCCCAGTACGCTGAGCATATGATGTTGTCCGTGCGATGGTTTTCGTTAGCAGAAGAGTCTTCTTCGCTACTCTTGGACGCCTTCCACACTTTTTCAGCCGTCGTACACACGTCGCACACAACACTTTCATCCACGCAGTCGCCATTGATGTCACCTCACTTGATTAGTTTGTTCCCCGTCTTGAAGATACGTGCCCAAGCCGGCGGTGCCACAGCTCGGCCTCATTCTCAACTGTGTGGCACTCAGCGCTCGGCTCAACGTCAGCATCATGAGCATCCCACGCCTTGATACCGTCGCGACAGTTCGTCCGTTTTTATCACTATGCAGCCGTTGCAAGAGTTCTCGACCTTCATCCCACGCGCTGCTGCCGCTGTTATCAGTAACAGATTCTTAGTCAAGTCTTGCACGTGTAACGTGTTCTCAAATCGCAATTTCGTCCATCCTGTGTTATTCCAGATCAGCAACGTCACCGTGCCCTGTCCGAGCACCTTCAATCGCGCGCTGCTTTTTGCACTCAATACGATGCGCGTCGTCATAACTTCCATGTACTCGACAAACGCTTCACGTTCCCTGCACATATGTGCTGTGACACCACTGTCCATTACCAAGCAGTCGCCCGCGCTTCTTTCGCTTGCGCTGAATGCTACATTCGAGTGGTTTCATGTTGGTTGCCGTTGCCACCGTTACCGCTAGCCTTTGCCAAGCAGTCGCGCGCGTAGTGCCCGCGCTTCGCACAATTGTAGCACTGAACATTCGCTCTCTTTTTGGTGCAAGCATTCCGCATGAGCGTGAGTCAGATTAGCTCCAGCAATCTCGTAAGCAAGCTGATCGCCGAGGAGGTGCGCAAGCAGGAATCATGCCGCGTTGAGAGCAATACAGCGCTACACATGGGCAGGCAACGCGAAAAGTGCCAGTTTGCAAAAGCGATATCAAAAGATGTCGTCGATGTCATGCAGAGTGACGCACATTCTTTGCACTTAAACACTGCTGCAAACTACACATTTAATGTTGTCGTTCGTTTAATGAAAGTATGCGGTAGAAATGCGTGTCCTTTTCATCAGAA